TTATTATTTTACATCGCAGTACACAATAATTTACCTGTTTTATCATTAACGCCGCGATCGTCGCGAAATTCGCAAATTATCACACGGTATTAACCAACTTGACGTTCACGCCGTGTACACTTCGCATATATCGCATCGCGAACATCGCATTCTGCCGTCGTGAGAAAGCAAAAAAAAAAAACGACAGAAACAGCAAAACCGATAACAGTACCGATTTCGCTGACGACGACCGGTATGTACCTAATCAGTGTATACACACACACACACACACACACACACACACTATAAATCATAGTGAAGGAAAAAGTTAGAGGACTTTTGGATTTTGGTTTTCATAAACGTTCCAATTGGGATGCTCTGATTTCGGATATTTTTTTTATTTAGATTTTTATTTTTAGATTCTGAGTGAAGAGAGAAATGTTTTATTTTAAATATAATGTTTGGGGTTTTCTTTTGGAGTGCTTATAAATATTATTTATATCAGATACCTATCATGTACCAATTAAAAACTTTATAGGGACTTTCATGTGACATTTTTGATCTAATTGGTGCATTGATGAATTTATTTTTTAATTTTCCTTGAAGTATTCTTAACAAATGTGAAAAACTGTCAAATTTGTGTAAATTTGTTGTTGATTTTTTTCGGCAACAGGTAAAAAAATATGACTAATATGGAATAATAAGTAATGGTTACTCTGCTCAGATTCGTTTTTCGTTACCTACCTAATAGTTTATCGTTACTTACTGATATAAATTAAATTACTTTATTTTAAATATTCCCCCTCTTTCAACAACCATCCTAAAATACTTTCACAGCTATTTGTATCAGTATTTTAGATTCTGAGTGTAGTTTGGAATGTATTGGTTTTACTATAATGATATTTTGTATTTATGAATAACTTTTCTACCAGAATTCGTGCTCCATTCAAAAATTATAAGATAGCTTTTTTGTAACATGTTCAATATTTCGTCAGTGCATTGACGAAGTCGTTCTTTAATTTTCCTTGCAGTTTTCATAACAACAGGGAAAAATAGTAGAAAAACAGATCTGAAAGGTTTGAACATTTTATAAAAAATTCATCATAAGTCATATTTAGGAATCAAAGTATAACGTAACATAACAGTTTTTATTTCCGAGTAAAAAGTTACAATTTTAATGAGACTCATAAAAATCATGTCATTTCACGTACTTTTTTGTGGTTGTAATTTTTTGGTCTAACCGAGCATTTTGAAAACTTAATGGCAAAAATAAGTTGAGCGTAGCGTAGTTTTATATGATTTTATTAAATTTTGACGGAAATCATAAATATCCAGACGACAAGGCGTTTTAAAACAAATTCAACTGAACTTCGTTATGAGTCGTATTTCGTCAGTTATGATTTATCGATGCGTATTAATATACAATTAACTCCAGATAACCTATCTTCTGAAATTCCCACTTACAACAGAGATACACCAGCAGTATCAGTTTTTTTTTTATTTTTACCATATCTAATAAAATCATTATGGAAATAAATTCGGTGTATTATATTTATATAACAAATCGAAAGCTAATCATTATACTTATAATTATTGGTAATAGAAAGATTACAAGGACCGGAATGGCATCAATCATTTATTTTCAAATTTTCAAATTTTAAAAAATACAGAATTTCGAATAATTACTGTGAAACACAAAAGGTTGATTTTTGGGAGGTTTTTTTCGCTGAAATCTTCTGAAAATGTTTGCTGTTTGTCGATATTTTAGATTACACTATTAAGATTAAGACACCTATATTTTCATAGTATTGTATAGAACACTTAGTATTCTCTATATTTATTTGTCTACAAATTTATATAAATATTTTTAATACATGGACATTGGACAGGTGTAGATTAAACGAAACTCATATCTATTTATTTACTTGATAGTCGTTCGTTTGCAAAATTAAAACATTTTCACCTTTTTGAAAATTGTCAATAAAATGCTAACAACATAAACATTTTCAATAAAAATACACACCCACATGATTATATCAAAACTATGGGTGAGACCCTTTTTGACCAAATTCGTAACCTACTCTTTTCGGCCAAATTTAAAAAAGGTCAATTCCTTTTTCGACCAAAATCCAAAATCGTACCATTCGCTTTTCGGCTAAAACAATTTACTAAGTCATTAAACAAGTCATACATATTGAAAAGTATAAAATATTCAAAAAGCAAGTTTCATTTATAGATATAAAAAAAATTTATTTATGTATTTTTATGTTAACATAAATATGTTACACCTCTACTTATAGTTTAAAATATTTATATGTATATTGTATACATATGTATTATAATAAAAGAAAATTATATTTTATTTCATCTACTATTATAATTTAAAAAAATGTTAAAAAAAAAATTATATTTTGTTTGAATTTGTCAGTAAGTCTGGTTTACTAAATTTTCAAATTAAACATAAAAATGCAATTACTATATTAAGTGAAGTGAATCGGTCGAAAAGGGAAAGATACAATTTTGGTTGAAAACGGTGATGTCCAATATTATCACGGTGCTCTGGAAACGATACGTTTATATCATGATTATACCAGGCAGGTACGAAAACGCGAACATTTGCGAAAATAAAATTCTAACGTTCATATATTTTTTCGGTTTTTTTATTTTAGCACTCAAAACGGTTCTGTCTAATCCTGATCTTAATTTCTTTTCCCTGGTCAACTCTGAAAAAACGGACCATGCCGAGCAATTATCAGCAATAAATTTAAAACAAATTTGTCAATGTCTCTGAAACTTCGGCCTTATGTTTCAGCCTATTTTTAACCTAACTATGATATAATAAATTTGCCATCGAACAAGTACCTATATAGTTATATACAGAGTGTATCTGATTGAAGAACTTGAAATACACTAAATATATTTAACTATATGTATGTATAATACACATACGTATATTATTTCTATATTAAATACATAGGCAATTGTCAAATGCTGTAGCGATACATTCTGTATATATTTACTTATAAACGCCCGATGGACACAGAGTACAGAAGTAATGCAAATATACAATGATTAAAATTATTTCGTTAAACACTATAGAGACAAATAACAAGGAGTAACAAATATAAGTCAAATAAAACAATAATTAGCACTATGAATTATAAAGTAAATATTAAAGACCATTATAGAACAAAGAACTATAGTATACAACTATTTTTCAAACAATGTTTCATTTCCAGGAGAAAAACAAATTAAAACTATTAAGTTTATTACATAGAGTTAACATTAGATTGACCGGTGCAAATAAGCAATAATTACACCTGCAAGTAGATACGGTAGAACATACATAAAACGAGGTCGTGGATCATAAAGTTATTTTTGGAACATTTATATTAATTAAAGCAATTTTTTCAAGCAGTATATGGTTATAATGTTATAAAAACCACAATATTATCTGGCCGGATGACGTTTCATGGTGTAATAATGATAATAACATGGGTTATTAAAATATTTAAAATTCTTAAAAAGAAATATAATTTGCATATAAATAAACGATTTTTAATGGTTTTGTGTTCGCGCAGCCGCGTAGGTTAAATTGTGTTAAATGCGAATAATAATCGTTTTTGCGAAAGTGTCCATTGAACAATATTAAAATTTAATATTTGAAAAATCGATATTTCGTACATATGAGAACATGTGTATGAACCTCTCGGAATATCATTACATTAAAAAACAAATAACTGTACGAAAAATTTCGATCAAAAATAATATAATTAATATTTTCATCACCCAAAGGTTAGACCGCGCGATAAGGAAAATGTAGGCAATCGGTAGTCGTGTCGTAGAGTGTTCTTTATTGTAAATAAAATATATTATTATAACCGTTTTCGGGCATTCCATCGATACAAAATATATTGTGTAATTGTGTGTTTGTTAATTGTATTACGCATCTGTTAATTTACATTTGCACATCGTATAATTATTCGGTAATATTACTACATGCACCAGTAAATAAGAAAACGATGTTTGAATTCTTGTCTTAAACGTTTTAAGCCGCGAGTATCTAATAATATACTTATTTTAAACGGGTATTTATGATAATAATTTAATAATATATAATTAATATGATCGCTTAAATAAATACCAATACTTATCATAACATTATAGGTGTAGATCGGGGAACCAAGGGCGCAGAACACCCCTGCAAAATGACAACGCAAAAAAGGGTTTTCTAAAAGAAGTCTATAAAAAAAAAAAAATGTTTAAATATAATATTGTTTATCGTTGTTTCTATGTTTTAGATTTCGGTCCTTATAAAACATTCCACTTACAAAATATAATTTTATAATTATATAATTATTTGGTTTTTCCTAATTATTATATAAACTACTTTAGATATAGAAAAATGGCAAATAAAAATAGAACAATGACATTATATTAAAAAGAACAAAATTGATATCGTATTATTTTTTGATTGGATTAATATTTCTGGTATAATACATACAATTAAAAATACAAATTTTTGTATTTTGCAAAAATTAAAAATAATGGAATCGGTAACGCCATCGCCGGTCGCGGCGTGTCGTATATATGTGTCGTTTTACCTATATTTTGTTTCCGTTGAAAATTCCCTAAAAATCAAAAAATAACATTATTATTACACGAACCACATAAAATTACCTTTAGTAAAAGTGTCACATTCTATACATCGGAAATCTCTGGTAGAAAAAAAAAATTTTTGAAACTTAACGAATTCAAAACTAAAATATTTTCTAAATATTTATGCAAAATCAGTGGTAAAATTTTAAAATCATTATGATAATTTGAATTTAACAAAATAGATTTTAAGTATTATAGATGGTTCAATGTTAAAGTTTAACATTTTGTTCTGTCAACTTTTTTCGTCTTTATTATAATATAATATTATGTTAATTATACATCCTAACTTAAATAATTATTTTATTTTTATTTTTTAACAATGCAATTTTTTTTTAGAATCATCAAATACTTACTTCCAGAACATGCTGAAAATACACAAGGGATTAAAAAAAAAGAAGAAAAATAAGAAAAATAAACATAAAGAAGAAGAACTTTTCAACGAAGAAGAACTTGAAAGATATCGTCGTGAACACCAAGAAGGAAAAGTAGCGGAAGGCGAAAACGAAGGCCAAGAGGAGTGGCAGAAGTTTAAAGCAATCACTGCTGGAATAGACGATGTATTGAAAAAAACACAGGGAGATCTCGATCGTATAAAAACAAATAGTTTTTTTCAAAGAAAACCCACACAAACAGAACTTAAAGCTGCCGAAAAAAAATTAGAATCGGAAACAAGGGCTAAATTAGAAGAACAAACACGTCTAAAAGCAGAAGCTGAGGCATTAACTGCCGCTAAAGCAGAAGAAGAGGCATCAGCTTGTGCACCTGTTGATGAAGAATCATCTTCAGATGAATCAAATAATGGTGATGACATATTTGATACATCGTACGTCGATGTTATTACTAGTGGAGAAGTAAAACTAGCATACATTCCAGAAAGTCCAACCGAGGAAGACGGAGAGTTCGATCCATTTGATACTTCCATAGTAGATAAAGTTATTCAACCTAATCCATCTAAGAAGAACAAAAGATACATTAGTCTTGGGTGTGCGGTTGAAGTTCTATCAGGTAAAGACGTTGATATAAATCCTGAGGTCTTCAGGTCAACAGCTGTTCGAAAACGACCAAAACCTGTAGATTTATTGTTAGAGAGTTTTGATAATAGTACTTCAAATGCAAAACTTATAGACGACAAACCTATAAAAACATTGCTTGATGATGACCCGATTTTGTCTACAGACGCAATACCATTAACTATAGTTACTCCGATCGAAATTAAACCACAGCAAACTAAAAAAGAAAATACAAAAACTCCTGAACAAGATATTAGTCAAATTATTGACGAATTTGATTCACCGCTTATTTTATCTGAAATTGTAAAAACGCAGACAAATCTAGAAAACGACGATATAGACGACGAGTTTGCTGCGTTAGCAGCTGAATCATTATCTAAATCTCCACTTCCCGAAGATATCGATCCTTTTGATACATCATTTGCAGACCATATATTACCCGCAACAAACAATTTGAGTACTCAAATTAAACAAGACAACCAACAAGTAAACGATAAAACGGTGGAAAAGGAATTCTTCCAAACAGTCCGACCACTGAGTCTAGAACACAGAGATCTTTTGGGTGGAAGTACAACAGATTTGTCAGTAATCGGACATCATCCAATTGAACCTCATAATTCTACATTAGAAACCACACTAATCGATCCTTTTGACACATCTATTGCTGAGAGCTTGTTACCCGGAAAAGGAGAATTGAAATTACTAGAAAAAGAACTTTTAGAAGACTCTAAAACACCGTGTAAAAACATAATAATTGAAGAAGACGACGATTTTGATCCAAGAGCTGAAGAATTTGTTCGGCCAGTTGAACTAAATTTAAAAGAGAAGAGAGTTAGTGTACCAAAGGTAACATTTGCTTTAGAAAAAGATTTATTAACTGACGACCATCACGGTGAGTTGCATGTGGCAAAACCTTTAACTCCATATTATCCACAGGATCAACTAAACGAAGACGGTTTTGAAATCGACCCATTCGACACATCACACGTTACACATGCACCTGGAAAAGTAGAATTGAAGTTATTAGAAAACGAATTAGTCGAAATAGAACCTAAGTGTACAGATATATTGACAGAAGAAGAATTTATTCCTCACGTTCTTCATACCCCCGTTGAACCAGAAATAGCGGTTCCTGAAGAAATCGATCCTTTTGACACTTCATTTGCAAGTGAATCCGTTCCGAGTCAAACAGAAATAAAATTATTAGAATCTGAATTTATACATAAATAAAGATGGCCAATCCATTTTTAATTGAAGACACAACATCTACTTTTACTGATAGTAAAAATGCATTCAATCCATTTGTAACTAGTACAACCGCTGAATTAGAATCTCATAATGACAACCCTTTTTTCTCATCATTTGGTGCATCAAATGCTGTTCAAGATAATACAAATCCATTTTTATCATTCACGCAAAAACCTGAATCACCTCATCAAGTGGCTGATCTACTGGGTATTAATGAAAAAAATCATCCTACTGTTATTAATCAGGATGCCACAAAGGTGAAACCTCCACCCCCAAGACCAGCTCCTCCTAAAAGACCACCCCCAAGACCAACAGCGCCTTCACACGTTGCTAAAGAACTCATTCTGAGTGTTACAGGAGAAATGGATGCTACTTCATTACATTTGTTGGACAGATTAGCAAAAACTCCTAGTCCTACTCCAATGAGAGATTTATTATCTCCTAGTCCAACACCAACAGCTGATCTATTAGGATATGAAGATCTTCAACCGCCAATAACATCTCAAACAACTAATCTTTTTAACCAACAGCCTAACATTATTGATTTTCCTTCCGGACCAAAACCAGAAAGACCCAAATTTCCACCGAAAATTGATTTCCTTATGGATGATTTATTAGACGACGTTCCAATTAACGAAGGTATACATTCTGAGGAAGGATTAATACACCAAATAACCCCAACTATTCCAGAAAGTCCACTTAAAATGTGTGAATCTAAACCGGAATCTAGGAAATCGTCCAATGAATTTATTCCTTCAGTGAGGAGATTATCACATGATGTTACAGAATCAAGGAAAATTATGCCCGATTTAAGTAAAGTTTCTTATCGTAGAAAATCGGACATTGGCCATTTTGCGCCATTATTGCCTTCAAGAAAGCCCGTTAGTCAAAGTGATCAATCATTACAGGATATTAAACCTGATTACACAATCCAAGAACTTAATGAATCCGAGGAAAAATCAATTGTTGAGGTGTTTAATAATTTACCAGAAAAAACTTTAACGCCAACTAATGTCCAAGAACTAAATATAAAAGAGGAAAATATTACGACAGCACCCCTTGAAACGAATATTATTTTGGAGGAAGAAAAAAATGGATTAGATTTCGATTTACAACAAAATGTAGAGCCTTCTAATCATTTTGAAAACACCTCTACAACAAATGACACAAATATAACACCATTTACTGAATCGATAGAAAAAGAAAATGTTACCTTACATGCTTTTGATAATGATATGGTTTTACCATCTTCAGAATCGTTCTCTCTGTCAATTGATGAAGTAATTCATCAGAAATCAGTTGATGCATATGAAGTAAAGCCGATACCACCAGTACCTGATCCGTCGCCCTTCCAAGAAATCCCTTCTCAAGAAACTCCATTCAATGCAGTATTTGAAACTGAACAAATAGCGACTACACTGGTCAATGTACAAGAATCTCAACAGTTAGATAGTGTAGATCCAATTTCAACCACTGTTAATGAGTCATTCCCAGAACCAACTGCAGTTATGGGAAATGATGCATTCGATGCATTTGTAGCGAAATTTGATGATTCTCAGAATGATTGTAATACATCTGGAGGAGCTTTCGACGCATTCGGTGGTGTTTCGGGAGAAACATTTGAAGATTCAGCAATGGGTTTCGGAACCGATGATAATTTTGATTCATTCTTAACAACTCATCCAATACCTGCTGCACCACAGTCAACGCCAGCAAAACTCACAAGAAACAATTCTGGGGAATCTTTAGATGAAAATGATTTTAATGTTTTTATAAGGTACTCAGAATTCATGTATACAATTTCTTAGTTCATAACTTAATAAATATTTTTTTATTTAGACCTAAAACTGACTCGGAGAATGTCGATCAATCTGCTGTTCCTTCTATAGCTCCTCCGCCAAAAGTGCCTACGAGTATATTTCAAGAGGGAACAACTTCAAGGTTTAATCCATTCGATCAAGAGCCAAATGAAACAAATTTCAAAAGTCAAGGTCATTAACCCATTCATTAATTGATATATATACTTTGAAAATCATTAATTGCTATTTAAATTTATTAATTTTATTAATTTCTTACAGATACATATACTCCTCAACAGATTCCACAGCGAACAGATTCTCAAGAAACACCCCCTAGTCCGTTGTTTGATGATGATGTTTCCCAACCTCTCGAAGAATTCCCACGTGTTAATTACAATGATGAAGGCTGGGCAATGGAGTTGAGACAGCCAAATAAGAAAAAAATTACTGCCCATCGGTTTTGGAAAAAAATATTTGTTAAAATCACTTATCAAGGGGAAAATCCTGTCCTTCAATTATACAATACTAAAGATGATAAAGACCCATTTCAAGAATTACCATTACAGCCAAGTTATTCTGTATCCGATATTGGTAAAATATAAATAAATAACTAATAATAGGTATTTAAATTTTAAATATTGATATTTTTAGGGGCCCAACAATATGATCAATATGGTAAAATATTTACTGTAAAATTGTTGTACATATTCTATAAAGAAAAAGCAGGATTTAGACCAGGTCAAGTAACAAAAGCTGAAAGATTAACCAACAAATTGAGTCAATTCGCAGCATATGCTATTCAGGGTGATTATCAAGGCGTTAAAGAATTTGGCAGTGATTTGAAAAAATTAGGATTGCCCGTAGAACACGGAGCTCAAGTAAGAAATTAACATTAATATTAATTTATTTTTCCTATCATAGTATTATAAAGTAATAAATATAATTCAATAAAATACGAATGTCCAGTATATTACCACATGAAATAATTTTGTTTTTTTCTGCAGACTACGACACTGCTCAAATTGGGAAGTCATAGTTATGAAGACATGAAACAATTTAGTATTTGCATTGAAGAAGCCCTGTTCAAGCTTTCAGCTCATCGTGATAGAGCGTTGAATTATAAAGTAGAAGATGTGCAAATTACAGCAATAGATGAACTTTTTGTTGACCAAAATTCACAAGGATCGGTACTGAAACAAATTGCACGAGTCCGTTTATTCTTTTTAGCATTTATGTGTGGTGAGTATTAAAACCTGCAGTGTTATTAATATTATATATTCAAGAAACAAAAAGATTCTTATACATTTTTTTGGAAATCAGGAATGCCTGATGTCGAATTGGGTGTAAATGATTTAGTTCGACAAGGAAAAGAAGTAGTCGGCCGCCATGATATAATTCCAGTAGTTACTGAAGAATGGATTCGTTTAGAAGGAGTCGAATTCCACAATTGTGTCCAGCAGGACGAATACGAGAGAACAAGAACTATAAAGTACCACTTGGAATTATTTTTAATACTGGATTTTAAAATATTTTATTTATCATTGAAAATTGTGTAGGTTCAAACCTCCCGATGCTTGTTACATTGAACTTATGAGATTTAGAGTTAGACCACCCAAGAACAGGGAACTGCCGTTACAATTAAAAACGACAATGTGCATTACGGGAAATAAGGTTGGTGTTATTATTTCATAACTTTGTGTTTCCCGACATTTGAAATAAATAAAATCGAACATTTCAGGTGGAATTAAAAGGAGATGTGCTCGTGCCGGGATTTACGAGCAGAAAATTGGGACAAGTACCTTGTGAAGACGTAGCTATACGGTTTCCTATACCAGAATGTTGGATATATCTATTCAGAGTGGAAAAGCATTTTAGATACGGTTCTGTAAAATCTGCACATAGAAGGTAATTGCACATACAAGGGCTATTTTTGGTGTATAACTATAATAATAACATTATATTATGTTTTTAAAGGACGGGCAAAGTAAAAGGTATAGACAGATTCCTTGGTACGATGGACAATCTTGAACCACACTTGATCGAAGTGACATCTGGTGAAGCCAAATATGAACACCATCATAGGGCTGTGGTGTGGAGAATGCCTAGATTACCGAAAGAAGGCCAAGGTTTTTTTCTAATAAACAAATTATTTTAATAATCTGCTATAAAATGAGAATAATTATTTTAAAACATAAATTATCTTTCTTAGGAGCGTACACTACTCATAATCTTGTTTGTCGTATGACTCTGACATCATACGATCAAGTCCCCGAGGAACTGGACAAGTATTGTTATGTAGAATTTACAATGCCGACCACCCAAGTTTCGCACACAACCGTCAGGTCGGTATCAATAGTAAATAGTGAAAAAGACGCTCCCCCAGAAAAAGATCTAAGACTGATGGCCAGACACGAGTACAGGTACCTAAACTATTATAACGTACATATAACCTATATTATATTCTCAAACGATTAATCGAACACGGCATATTAACTAATAATAATAATATTAATATATTATTATCAGGGTGGAAATCGAGCACATACATGGACAAATCGAAGAAAATCCGTATCTGGCAGCGACTGCAATGCCAAGAAGTCCGCAATCAGCTGCGGCAGAAACGAAACCACCGCCAACGGCTGCTTCCGACAGCGATTCTTCTTCTTAAAAATTAAAACTTAAAATATACGATACTTTATAATATTATTATATTATGCTGTATAATTTGTTAATAATTTAATTTTAGATTGTGATCTCTTCCTCTGAAATTATATATTTCAACTTAACAACTGTATATACTATTAATAATATGTAAGTTTATGACTTAACGCATACTATTATTTATAAAATGTACTTATGAAATTATTGATTTAGGCGCCGTATTGTTATGATTAATATTTTAAAGCGATTTATTACCATAATATGCACATACCGAAACTATTTTAATCTACACGAGTAACAAAAAAAATTGTAAGTTTTAAATTGTTTTTAACTTTGTTGCAAACGATGAATTTGATTAAGTATAACATAATATCGCAATATTCAAAGATAAAATAACAGACGCTTTAAAAAAAAATAATAATAATAATTCGGCTGAAATTAGTGAGCTTTTACTTTTTAAGATGACAATAATAAAACGTTAATAACATTTTAAAATATCCACCCAATAGTAATATTCTCAATATTTTTAAGCTCATTTAATTTATTATTAATCGAGAATCTCATTATTTTTACTAGTGATTTTTTGTATTGGAATATGTAGTTTTTTTTGTCATACTCTGCCCGTGTCATACATGTGCCATACTTAAATTACGTGTAAATGTATAAAATCTAACGATTTACCGTAGCTAATAATATGATATGATAATATTATTAACGGACATCTTAAGTATTATTTGTATTTACTGCGTTTACCAAAAATATTGTTCATTCGTCGTTATAAGTGTACTATTTTTTCTTTCTAATTTTCAGTCCGAAAAAAAAACGTAATACGTATAGGTAGTAAGCCTATAAGGGAGTGGTCAACTCAGCTTATCATTAATGAATAGACCTCCATTTTATATCCACGGATAAACGATTATTATATTGTTATAAGTTATTATATTATAATATGATTATCACATAATGTTTTATTTTCATGAACAACTAAGTTATTTTGTTGCGAAAAATTTTGAAATATCAATGATAATAAATATTAGTATACCGTAGTACTATATTATATAAATATTATAGTTCAATGTAAGATACAATATGGCTGTCTATGGACATAGATAATAAATCAACCAATCAGCGTACATTACGCGGTTGACCACTCTCTTAGTATAATATTATAATGTATAATGATATAGGCTTTCTACGTAAAGATATTCTGTTCGGTGAATATGGTGAAACGTTCGGACGACTTTCTGTCGAAGACCATTAATAATATTGTTTGTTGACAAAAAGAATCGAAACGAAATAATATAATTACAAACAACAAAGCCTATATCATAGTATGTACTTACTATATTTTACTGTAACCAATACCAAAAATTAAAAATTACACTTGTTAAGTACAATAATTACGCAAAAAACCGTAATAATACAAGTACTAATTTATGCAAAATCGGCGTACCTAGAATATTAATATTAAACTTAAAAACATGTTGTTTTAAGACTTAGGAGTATAATAGGTTTACACAATAACATTAGTACAATAATAATATTGTCTATACTTATTCACGGGTACCGTGTTTTAAATAATATTTTAGCCGGTTCGGAAAATATAAAACGCGACATATACTTATATACTAGCAATAAAAATTAATAATATTAATAATTAATACTATATACTGTTAATACTATTATTATAATATGCAATAACAAAGCGTTTTTTCCCTTTCCATTTTGTGATTATTCTATACGGAATGATGTATAACCCGTTTTTGTTTTTTCGTATCATTTAGGTATACCGACAAATTTTGTTCGCTGTTATTCGTAATACGTAAAAAATAATTATAATTATTATTAAATAACTTTGTTTGTTAATATTAAGATTGAATTAATAATTATATTAGGTATGCATAGAATAGTATATAATCTTAATTTAAGTTGATACACGGTGGTAAAACACGTTATCATGGTTGGGCAAATACAACACCAAATTATTTAAGTTTGTAGTTTAGATCTTTTAGGTACCGATTATAATACACATTATACGGGCATAGTATTAATTTTAAATAAATTATTATATTATATTGTTAGGGTAATATCTGGTTCCGGGGAAGAAGGGGTCAAATCAATTTTGTACAGTTTTCAATATAAGCGAATACAATTTCGAAAATCGCTACTTGGTTAAATATAAATATTAATTTGATTTTTACCTTTTTTTCGTCAAACAATAAGTACGTTATAACAACTTAAGATATTTTAATTTTCTGTACAACATGTGTTAGAATAGGCATACACGTGTGTTATTTTGAACCAAAACACAAAGGCGAACAAGAAAAAATTATGTGGGCATCCAAAAAAAAGAAAAATTTCAAAAATCGACCAAAGCCTTTCTTCCTTAGAACCAAAGATATTATATTAGTTAGGCGAAAGAAATAACTTATTGGCATTCCGTGTCTTTATAAAATAATAATCTAATAACCATTGATAAAAATATTAATACCTATAACCAGTACCTAAATATATTATTATATTATACTTAAAATATACATAATAATATTATTATACCTTCGAACGAATATATTTGTGATAAAAAAAAAAAAAACATTTTAGACGTTCATTCGATTAGTAACTATATGTCTTTTGTTATTATTTAATATTCATTCTATTTGTTATCTTAACGACGGACATTGAAATTTGTTCGCTTGTCGCATAACCTGCAATCTGTGTCGGTCGAATAATATTATATAATCATATATTCTATAGATTTACTTAAAATACGTAACTATAAATATTAAACATTACCCATATTTTAGTCGTGTTAATTCGTTTTTCCGGCTACGCCTATAGGTTAAGTTTTTACTCGTTTATATTTTATTTGTTATTATTTTTGTTATTGTTTTTATGTTCTTAGTGTTTATGTAGTTATTGAAATATTTCGATGTTATGGTTATTACAATATTATCTACAAAATAATCATTACTATTATGATCGTCGTACTAATCCATTTGATTCCATCAACTCGTAATCAGTAAGACGTTTTGTTGTAAAAATAAGAAATATATCATTTTTTTTTTTTTTTTTTTTTAGTTCCAGTATGATTATTATTGTTTACAAGTCACCTATTATATTACGTATAACGATACGTTAAGTTTATATAAATATCTATTATATTATATAATTATTTAAAGGAGTACATATTGTTGTATTAGGTACATATTATTATAATATAAAATATTCAGTATTCAGTGTATACTTGCATAATTAAGACTATTAATATAACAATTATATTACAAAATTATTGTCTTTTTAATTGGTATTGTTTTTTTAATGAATCCGAACAGTTTTCATAGTTTATGATTGATGGTAACTGACAGGTGGATAATTTCAAATTCCCGGTTTGATTAATAATTGTAAATCAAAGAACTTTGATTTTTTCTTTTTTTTATGAGCGTGTGTGATGTGTTTAGATCAAAGAAGTTGTGTTAATAGTTCACTGTCTGTTCTCTATAATTCTTCACTGTGAAATAGAAATAGTTAAACCGGTGTTAATGCTTCTACTTGAATTATTCATAAATAATATAAATACGATATTAATAATAATAATCTTGATACAAATATCGAGATCGCGATCATTATCAAAAAATTCAAAAAAACAATTGTGGATAGGTAGATATCTTAGATTTGCCTAGTAATTCTACAGTATACATACTACTAAACGTAATAAGAATGAGAAAATTGTAGTGAGTGTGACATTATACTTGTAAGAGTCATAATAAATAATTCATTTTTCAGTTGGTGCATAACCCGGAACCGGACGTTTAGGCGAAGATACTTCTATGTATGGGCCATACCATTTGTCGTAACAAAAATCTAATTTTGGAAATTTAGGAAACATTGTCAACAGTCACAAATTTAAAAAACTTAGAAATCGCTGTTTCTCATCCTAAATTGTTGGCATTTATTTTATGTTTGAGAAATTCAAAGTGGTAAGATAATTTCTTGAGCCAGTTGGAAGGAGGGCAAGTGGAACCCCACCAAAAAAAATTATTTGTTGTCGACCATCGAATTTTTAAACTTTTCAGTGACTACTGCAATAATAAATACATTTTTACCTTTTTAAGAGGTATTTCTTATAATATTTGAATATTGTTTTTTTTTTTTTAGATTCTGAGTTTACCGAAGAATGAATTGATTTTACAAAGATATTTATTTATTTTTTTTATATGTACACTTTTTCTGCCAGAAACCTTACTTCGATGTATATGATGTAGACCTTTTCTGAAAGGAAATTTTTTTTGAGTGGTGCCTTAATGAGGTCATTTTTTGATTTTCTAGGCAGTTTTTCCAATAAAAGGGAAAAACGAGAAAATGTACGAAATATATTAATAGAATAACATGATTTTTTTTCTCTGTGGACAACTTTTCTACCAGCAAATAATGATTTTTAGTATATTATATTAAAGATAAGAAAACAAATCAAAAACCAACCAACTAATAATTAAATCAGCCATTAACCTTAGAAATTAATTTTTTTAAATATTTTATGCAATTTTAATTTGATAATAATTATACAGAGGAAGACCTCAGGATGATTGGGGTTGAACATGTGGACAAAGTGTCAAGGGACAGGGAGAAATGGAAGGACGTTGATATGTTGTAGTTGTGACGATGGACCTTAATGGTTTTTAAGACGCCTAAGAAGAAGAAAAAGAAGAAAAATTATACATTCATGCTATACATATTTACTGTAAATTATATTTATTCGATATCTATGATATATTTAAATAACTATTATAATGTAAGTAATGTAAAAACATATCAGTATATTTATATGCAATTTTATTTTATTTACTTATACGATTATACGTAATTTTGTGAATCAATATGTATTGGGACGTAATCAGGATACTTTATAACTGCGATAAAATAGGACTATCTGAATTCGGGCCGCAATCGAGCAAATCCGGGGCACATAATATATTATTATGTTGGATCATGCCCAGATAAATAAATAAA